CGGCGCCGCTCCCGCCGTGGCCTCCGCAGGCGGAATTGCCGAGTTGTCGCAGAGCTGGGCTTTCTCTGCGGTCTTGTGCAAGTCCCGCCCTTGGCACTGAACGTCCAGGTGCAGATCCGTCTGCAGGCGGCGCGGTGCTGTGCGGGGGGGCTCTGGGGCAACAGGAGCGTTCGCACCTAGATGCCGGGGTGGACCAGCCGCCTGCGTCAGGGAGGCCAGACCTCCTGGGTTTCCTGGCCTCGTGGGTCAAATCGGCACTGTTTCCATGGTGATTGTTTCTAAGTTTTCTCTTAGGTCCTGTTGACCTCTCACGTCTTTCTCGAACAGTACAGTCTTTATTGCAGTTGTCCGGGAAGCTTTGAAGTCAGATGCTGTCACTGTGTGTGCTCTTTACCTAATCTTGTGTTGATCACTTTTTCATTCGTGATGACCTTTTGTCATCATTTTTCTGTTGACAGGAAAAATTGTTAGACTTTTTACTGGAGTGTTGCTGAATCCATCGCTCATATTCTGTACTGAAATAATATTTAGCCTTCCTGTCTACCATTATGCATTTCTCTCCTTTTACCAAGTTTCTTGGGATCTTTAATTACAAAGTTAAGTTTTGGCTGCACATATTTGTCACATTTTTGTGTATTTCTGGCTTATTGTCTATGATGACCTATAGGAAATATGAGAGTCTGTTTCTAATTTTCCTGTAATCTTATTTTACGTGTATGAGAGTGACTTGCTTGCATGTGTGTATGTTCACCACATGTGTTTTGTGCCCACAGAAGACAGAAGGAGGTATCAGATCCCCTTCATGAGAATCTAGGGATGATTGTGTGCCACCATGTTAGTGCTGGGAGAAAACACGGGTCTTCTACAAGAGCAATAACAAGTAGTAACTTCTGAGCCATCTCTCCAGTCCTAAACTTGACAGATTTTCAACACTTTATATGTTTGTGCACAAGTTGATGCTGAAAAGCCAGGGTTAAGAGAGTTGAGGTTTTGCTTAAAAATCTGTCTTTGGGGTTGGTTAGATGACTCAGTAGGTGTGCTGGTTAGATGCGGTCTGTTTGACACAGTCTAGAGTCACACTGGTATTTAGACACACTTATAGGCTATTTTCTTCCTTAGAGATTGATGTAATAGGGCCCATCCCACTGTGAAAGTGCCACCCTGGGCAGATGCTCCTGAGTTAAATAAGGAAGCAAACTGAGCAAGCCATGATAGCAGGAGGGCTGTGAGCAGCATTTCTCCAGGTTGACAGCAGTGTGGAATGCATGAGCCTATGTAAATTAGCAAATCTGTTCCTTGTCAGCCCCTCTGTGTGTGTTAGGTAGAGCTGGAGATGTGTAAATACTGAAGAATTTTTCTCAATTAATCTCTAAGTATGTGGCATGATTTCTCATTGTGATGGCACAGTAATTCCAGAACAGTTGCACCTTCCAGATTTCAGAAAAATATTTCAAGACATGGTTTGTTATGTTGACTTTCTTGGCCTTGATCCCAATGTTTATACCCCCGGGGCATTGACCCTGCTGTCCTCCTGACTCTACCTCCTTCTTGATTAAAGGTTCAGAGTATCATGTACTTTTAAAACTACCCACTCCATTAAAACCAGGATAGAAGGATTAGTTTATTGTGTACACTGCAGGAAAAAATAGGCTAGGCAATAGCTAGAGACTGTTTAAGTCTCTGACCTGTAAGTACCTTTCTGTATACTTGCCCAGTACGCAGTGATTTATACCATGTGAATGTGGAAAACCAAGTTGGTGGGTATACAATTTAGGGAGGTTAGCTTGAGCCACTGTAATTTCCTACTGGGCAACTCCTCATATTGATCCCTGCAAACCCAATTGTCTCCCTTTAGGCAGGTGAGAGGATTGAGACATTGAGCACTTGCCTGTGGCGTGTGTGTGTGTGTGTGTGTGTGTGTGTGTGTGTGTGTGTGGTAAGAATATACCACTCAGCAGCTAACATTTCCCACAAGGCAGGATCATACAGTCTATAAATGTGGAGTTGAATTCGGTGCAGGGTGGTGACCATAGATCTATCTGCATTCTTCTAAATGCAGACATCGTTTGTCTAGCACCATTTGTTGAAGATGCTGTATTTTTTCCCTGTATTTCTGGCTTTATACAAACTAGATGTTCATAGGAGTGTAGGCTCATGTCTGGGTCAGTCTTCAACTTTATTTCATTGATCCACTGTGTCTGTTTTTATGCCAGTAACATGTGGTTTTTATTACTATACCTATGTAGTACAACATGCAACCTGGAATGGTGAGAACTCCAGCAGTCTTTTTATTGTTCATAACTGCATGAGCTCTCCTGGGACTTTTGTTGTCTTATTTGAAGTTGACAGTTATCCTGTCAAGTTCTGTAAAGAATTGTGTTGGGATTTTGATGGGGATTGCACTGAATTTGCAGATTGTTTTTGGTAGGATTGCCATTTTTACTATGTTAATTCTACTGATCTATGAGTGTGGGAGATCTTTTTACTCATATCTTCTTCAGTTTCTTTCTTCAAGGAGTAGTTAGAGTTATTGTGAGTATTTTATATAATTTGAGGCTATTTTGAAAGGTTATTTCCCTGCTTTCTTTCTTAGTACCTTTGTCATTTGTACATAGGAGAGTTGCTGATTTTTGTGAGTTAATTGGGCATCCAAACTACTTTGCTTAAAGTGTTTTTCAGCCATAGGAGTTCTTCTGTGGAAATTTAGGGTCACTTATATTATCATATCATCTTCAAATAAAAATATTTTGATTTCTTCCTTTCCAGTTTATTTCCTTCAGTTGTCTTATTGCTCTAGCTAAGACTTCCAGTTCTGTATTGAGTAGACATTGTGAGAGTAGAAGTCCTTGTTTTGTTCCTGATTTTAGGTGAATAACTTTGAATTTCTCTCCATCTAAATTGATGCTGGCTATAGGCTTGTTGGAAATTGCTTTATTCTGATTATGTATGTTCCTTATATCTCTTACCTCTGCAGAACTTTTACCACGAAGGCATGTTGGATTTTGTCACAGGCCTTTTCTCCATCTAATGTGATGATAATGTAGTTGTTTTCTTTATGGTTGTTTATATAGTGGATTACATTTCTTGATTTTGTATCTTGACCATCCCTGACCATCTTGGATTTGATTATGGGAATATGATCTTTTTGATGTGTCCTTGGATTTGTTTTTTTAGTATTTTATTAGCAAGTTTTTTCATCTATGTTCATAAGGGGAAAAGCTCTTTGATTTTCTTTCTTTGTTGAGTCTTAGTGGTTTCCCGGTAACTGTGGCATGAATACTGAGGTGCTGGGGATGTAGGTCAGGGGTACAGCACCTTTTCTTTGTATGATGATGTAAGGAAATACAAGTAAGGCAGTTCAGTTTAATAGGAGTGGTCAGTCCCATACTATCCTTGATATAGTTATTGATAAACTGTATTTTGGTGGGCTTGAGTTCCTATTTTAGGAATTGGGTGCCTTGAATGAGAAATCAACAAGCTGAATTGTATGGTAGGGGTGTAGAGTTGTGAAGCACACCTTTGATCACAGCACTGGGGAAGGAAACTGAATGGCTTTGCTTATGAGAATGCAAATAGATTTTATTTTCTGAAATGATAATTATTTGTTGACTAGCTTGTATGGTGAAGGGCATGCCCATGTCATGGTCCCCATGTAGAACCCAGATAACAACTTATGTGAATTGCTTCTCACTTTCCACCGTGTGGGTCCTGAGGATCAACCAAGTCAGAATTCCTAGCCATTGGGAAGCTGGGTAGGAAGATGAAGGACATCAAGCCCATCGCCCTTTACTCCCCTTTTCGCACACTTTTAACTACCACATTTACTCAGCTCCTGTACCCCCTTAATGTCCTTAATTGTCTACTCAATCACCTCTACAGTTTCAGGCTAAGTTCAGTCCCAATGGCTTCTTTTTCCCCCATCAGTAGTATACTAAGATCTGTTTTAATAATTTTACCAGAGTTCAGCTTTACTTTGACACTTTCCAGCTACTAATCTAGTCTATAGCTTTGTGGTACAAATAATAAAAACTCAGAGACAGATATTGAGGTTCAAGCTGAAGATCAGAAAAGCAAAGCAGCCAGCCATTAGCTCTTACCTCTACCTCAGATGGAAAGGGTGATCCTGTCTCACAAACCCTCAGTTTGAAGACTGAATGCTAGGGCTGAGACCCTGCTCCTGTCTTATATAACTCTCTAGTGCTGAGATTAAAGGTGTGAATTCTGTTTCTCTTTTAGACTGATTCACACTCATATAGCCCAGGCTGGCCTTGAACTCACATAGATCCATCTGCCTCCGTCTCCTGAGTTCTGGGATTGAAGGTGTGTGCCACCACTGCCTGGTCTCTGTGATTAACTAGTGTGGCTGGCTTTGCATTCTGATCTTCAGGCAAGCTTTATTAGATCATAAACAATATATCACCACATAGCATTATAGTTTTACAAACACAAATATAATCCTGGCATCTTCTAGATTTTTAATGTTGAAATAGCTTCTCATGACCCTAAGATAACAGGACAGTAGGTCCCAGCATGTTGACACCACCCTCTCAATTCAGATTTACTAGTGACCACCTTGGGTTCAGGAAACAAAAGTGCAAATTCATCCTGTAAATTTTTTTCTTTACAGTTCAGTGTTGTTAGCAGCATCCCTTTAATCCCAGCACAGAGACAGACAGACATTTCACTGAGTTCATGGCCACCCCAATCTAATGGTGAGTTTCATGCTAGCAAGAATACAACACAACCAAACAACAAAGAATAAAGGTTGCTTGTAATTGGATAGGCTGGGCCAAGGAAGTATCTTAGTGCACAAAGGTGTTGACAGGTATATGAAGCACATGACCACATGTATTCAGTGCCATGAAAAACCTAGAAAAGGATGTGAGGTTCTCTGGGACTGCAGATACAGATGATTTTGAGCTGGCATGTGGATTTAATGGATTGAAATTTGCACCTTTTCAAATTCTTAACATGATGAACCATCTCTCCAGCCCTTTATTCAGATAAGTAATACAGAATTTTTATTTCTGTATTTAGGAGTCAAAATTAGGCCATAACCTTTCATTGTAGGCCGTTTTGAAAACTTAATTCTACCTGAGCTGGAGAGATGGCTCTACAGTTAAAAAAGCACTGGTGGTTCTTCCAGAGGATTTGGGTTCAATTCCCAGCCCCACATGGTGAACGTCACTGTCTGCAATCTCAGTCCCAGCATATCACCTAGCCTCTTCTCATCTCTGAGGACACTTCATAGATGTGGAAGACAAACAT